AAGGCTGGCTGGGGAATGCTCGAAGTTGAAGTCCACATCTTACAGTGGCCAAGATTGAGAAACACTGGTTTAGATTAATCCAGAGATGTTTACTTGCCTAGCAAAAAACAAGCATTTCCAGCATGGACTGATTCTTAAGATCAGTGTAAGATTCTTAAGATCTTATCAGTGTATGAACCCTCCCGCTGATCTATAGAACATAAATCAATCAACCGCTCAAGCAGACTGCTTCTCGGGACATGTCTTCTTGAGGATTTGAAGGCTTTCGGAAAACAGCGCCAAAGCCAGAGGGTAACGCAAACGTGTAATAGTACATAGGTCAAACTCAATAAACAGCTCATCTGCCAGAGTCTCAATCAGAAATTTGCGACTCCAAGAACCCTTTTCCATAGACGTTTCTGTGAAGTATTCTTACTATAGCTATAGATTGTATCCATAGACAACATAAACGGAATCTACTTATCTCATTAAATGCCTATGCCAGTATTTAACCATTGTGTCCTACTGTACTTACTTGGATCTCATCATAAACATCAGGCAGGAGACGGGTGATCGCCTAGAAAAGAAGCATTGAAAGGGTTACAAAATGGAAAACCCCCAAAGTTTCATTTTTAAAATAAATGCTGTGGATATTGATTAGCTTTGCCCACTTTATATAAGCTTTCTGATATAGGACCTCCCAAACTTCATCATGTTTAGATAGGACTTTGCCAAACCTATGGGGCAGAAGTTAACAGTGACCATTGGAAAGCCCACTGAGTGACCCTAAATACAACAGAGTCTGGATCCAATCCAGAAACAAGGTCAGGATTGCACTGGCAAATAAGGCTTGGCACATACACCAGAGCCTATGGGAGCCATTAAAAAACTCCATTCATCATTCCTATACCAAAGCAGAAACCTAATGATTCAAGTCATTTGCGGATCCGCAGAGACGTTCATCCTGCAGATTGGGACTTGCAGGAGGAAAGTGATGGCATTCCAGCTTGTTGGTGGCCCATGTGACACCCTCCCACGTTCATTCAAACCATCATTAAAATTTAGTTTGTACAAATGATCACTCCCTGTGTATTTAACCACTGCAGATGACAACTGGCATCTCCGTTTTGGTCAATTTGGTAGATCTTGCCAAATCATGAGAAGCAATTCTTGAAAAGGGCTATCTATCTATCTATCTATCTATCTATCTATCTATCTATCTATCTATCTATCTATCTATCTATCTATCTATCTA